ATCTTCTTAACATGTGGGTAGATTACATCTCTACTACTTAAATCCTTTTGATTTTTTTTCAATATTGACAGAAATGAATGCACAAAATGGTAACAACTGAAGTGTTTAAATGGATGGATAGATTAACATGTGAACTTTAGTTTTACTTTTAAAAATACCTTACTTTATTGAAAAAAACAATCCGTACAATCGTACAATAGATTTGTTCCTTATCCAGAAACCGATTTATCTCATTGATATTTAAGTTTGTAGTTGACCTATTAATGCAGGTTTGAGCGAGCGGTAAACAAAAGATTAAATAGACTGTACCCGGTTTTTGAGAAAGCTGCAATGTACGATGTTTCATCATAAATGTGAAAAATATCCAAAAATCTAACGTATTTGGCTGTTTTGAAACAACTATAAACAGATAAAGGGAATTCCAAAGCAGGTAATTTTTGTTTATATTTTATACATTAMATCATAAAAATGTCTGCTTTTGGCCCTTTTACATCCCATAATTTCTTCAAAATTCAAGATGGCAGCAGTATAAGTWATCAGGCACGCTATAAGATCAAGAAATSCAGTCGGCAATGSAAGTATATTTCCAACGAGGAGGTCGGGGATAATTTTTTCCCTTTTWAATCGTTAKGTAGAACCGTTGATACGGCTTATTAAGATATCTCTGTGGTTGATAGATAAATTGACGTTAGTTATCGGCTCCTTTGATAGTGTAGAAGATCGCATATTGCCATGGTACATCGGTATACTATGTAGAAATACTACATATTAGTGGTTTCGACTTTTCTCATTGTTTTTTTTTCTTTTGTGATTAACAACAAGAAAAGAGAAAGCCGCAAACCTATTTTGGTTTGTTTTATGAACAATAATGACGCTTTGAACTTTTATTTGGGAAAAATCCTTCTGTGAAAGATTTCCCCCTGACGACCCGGATGACGCGCAATCCTCCAAGTTTTTCCTTATTCGACCCGGGTTTCTTCAAGATTCTTCAATTATTCATCCACTATGAAAACCTTACTTAAAGCTCGCATAATTCCAAATTCGCATAATTAAAAAAAACATACTCAATTTATCCAAATCGAAGTTTTTGACAACAGTCAACGTTTTTATCGTGTTTTACACTAGATAAACTGGCGCTTAAAGTAAATATAGATCGATAAGGTCATTTCACTACGTTTTCATCTACGTTTTTTCGCGTTCAAGCCAACAAATACATTATTTATTTCATTTGAAGTATTTTTCATAACGTTGCTCGATGACRTCCGTGTATCGATCTACCAACGATTTTAGGCCGAATGCTTTTTCTTTTCTTCAATATTGAGTATACAATTATAAAAGGAAAGAAATTGAGTATATTACATAGGCGTAGAGATACGGATTTTGTCTTCGAGTGTCGCCAAAGATCTTTCACGAGCGTGCACGAGAAGATAAAATTCGTATCTCTAAGCGACCATGTAATATTCTGTTTATTATATAATTATATTTGAAAGCAAATTATTATTWTTTTTTAYTTCCAATWTATACAGAAACCTCGAATGTCTTATTTTCACTTTTCGAAAGAAAGAAAGATAATTATATGAAAAGAATATTTATAAAGCGCATCAAACTTTGTAATGTATGTAGCTTCAGTGAATTTTAATGTGTTATGATGTTAAAAGAAGTCAGTGAAATATCATTCGCTTGATTTCTTCATCACATTTCTCGTAATGTGACACCACACGATTAAATTATATTTTTGGCATAAAAAGAATATTATTCTTAKCTCTTTTCTTTAATCAGCCGATACATAAAACAAAATACTGTTCTTGTTTCATTTGGTAAATCCCACGTGCCATCACGTTTTCGTTTTGTCTGCCTACCACACCCGAAAAAAAAAATCCGCTTGAAAAGAAAAATTCCTGACTTAAGTTTTTGTATATTCTTAAAAATTCTTACCTCTTTTGCAGTTTGTGGTGTRTAAAAGTGGTCATTCATAACTGGAATCCATTTTCTTTGAATTTCGCAAAGTTTTTCATCAATTTAGTTGAATTTCAATGTAAGTTTGTGTTCTTAGATGTTCACCCTAATAGAAACACCTTAACAAGCGTTTGAAAGAAGATACTTSGAGGTGTTTAGTATAGAATTCATAGCTTGTGTCATCAGCAACTCATTAAACTAATAAGTATCAAGATTATGGCAAAGATTAATCTCGAGTTKGACTACTAATTACTCCCATCTTGGCACAGGAACTCAGTGGCTTTAAGTATATTTATAAAACCTTACCTTCCTTCCTCAAAAGTGCCTAAACTTTTCCTTTTCCTGCCGGCGATAATTTCGTCTTTGTATTGAGCTTTTATCGAGCGTGTAGACAGCGGACTGACTGGATTTACTGAACAAAGACCATGAGAAAGTCTCTTTTTAAAACTTGAGGTCGCAGACCACCGCTGGCCCTTGTATGATATTTCAATGGCAATTCAAAGCGAACACAACGAAGAAAGCGTTCTTTGTTGTACTTATAATTTCACCATCCTCCGCAATTTGGCCAAAGATAATAACGTTACTTGCCACCTTTTAGCCTAGTGGACAACACTAATTTAAAGAAGCCAGCACTCAGGGCATACGAAGGCACACTCGAAACCCAATAGCAAACGCGCGTTCAGAATTGATGATAGTTTTGTTCGATTTCCAGCTAATCAAATTGAAGTATCTGTTTTTCGTTTGTAAACAAACGCATCAATTCATYCCAGTCGTAATGTCTTCGTCTTTGTTAGAAAATGATTTCATTTTAAGAAAGAAATCTCAACCATTAATGTTTCATGCCGAGAACAATGCAAAGTTTTCTTTTTCATGCTGGTATTGTAACCGAAAGCTTTTAACTGTAGAGCTAAATTACTTGTGAGAGTTTCGATGTTTTTTGAGGTATCCATTGCTTAACGCTACAATATCATCTGTGCACCGTTAGACTATTTTAATCAATGTATTCTTCAATGTAACTAAGTGGTTGTATTTAGTCATTATATTAAGAAAAAGTTTCTTGGCTTTCGGTATTGAATTAGGCTTACAGGTGCGCACATGTAGACGCCCTTGTTTGACCGAGAGTTTAACGGATGTTTACGCATCAAGAGGAAGGAGCCGACCCCGTCTTCCTACAGTTCACGACAGACTATTGTCAATTTGGAATCAAAGAAGATACGTACTGACGCTTATATCTTGCTTGTCGCTTTTGTTGCTTGCTTTGCAGGCATCAACAAATTATTTCTGCACCGAGGAAATGATTTCCCCAAACAATARATTGAAATGGATTTAGAGAAATATTATGCAATACTCTAATTTCCCAATTACTCCCACTTAAGGTTTCCTWTCGAAACTGTTTGTATATATGTATCCTGTTGCATAGTGGGGCGTAGAGAATCGTTTTTTTTATCGAGTTTTCACCATATACAATTCTCGATTTTCTTCATTTCTTCTTATAAGTAAAACTAGCACTATCTACTTGTTAAATTCTATTATTATGGTCTCACACGCCTACGCCTTAACCCATCAACGCAACGAATGGCAACTTTGCTAAAGTTGGTTTTTATCAAAACATATTTTTGTGGTACATTCGCGAAACATCAATTTTCGGTGCACGCTTTTATATTTCTTAAATGAAATTAGTAAAATATGTTAACCTTTTAAAGAAACCGGCAAATGTTGTTGCTATTATTCCTCTTTCACTATTCGTTAAGCTTTTCTATTGGGATGTGAAAATAATAGATAGTGGCATTATACAATGTTACGTTTTACCAAATTGAGAATTTTTCACGCAAATCCTAAAAAAACAGAAGGAATTACTTACGGTATGAGAAGAGAGACCAAAAAGTAATGAGTTCAAATGATGCAATTAGAATTGTGATACTGTGCCCCTCGTCCTGTGATGTTTACAACTGATACAGGCTTATATTATCAACATCCTTACAAATTCTTGCGTTCAACTTCGACATGCTCCGACAGGAACAAGATCGGCATAAAGCCTTCCAAAAATATCCTGTTATCCTCATTAAAGTAGTTGAAAATATCCATTTATAATTTAAAATTGGATTTAAATGGGAGGGCTTTCTGTAGTTTTCCAATTTGTTATTTCAAAAAGAATCTTTAATTTAGTTTGTAACTAAAATTTCTATGACTCTTTGATTAAACTTTTTTTCATCGAATCATGATTATRAATCTATACGAAGGTACATTTCTATTACATACACTCTTTTAAATTAATCGTTTTATGTTGCTCGTTCTTTTTCGATACTTAAAGTACTGCACGTACAACGACTAACAATCAACTTCAACATTTGCGGCTTACAGAGATCACTGGCGATGTCAACARATATATACGTCTTTAAAAAGTAGYCGCGGTGGATCGTGACACAGCAGAAAATTAGYCCCTTGAAGAGAAAATTGCTATCAAAAYTGAGCGTGTCTCGCGGCATGTCTTTTTGGGAGAGGATAGCAAAAATTGTCTTKGAATCCGATAGAATGCAACCAACTAACGTTAAAATCTTGCTTTGTACAATAATGTACCGGGCGTCAAGTTATATGTTGTCAAGCTTTTCATGTTTATCGAAAAAACAGGCGTTTTAAAGATAAAAAAAATATATTTGTTTTCTTTTTGTATTTCAAAAGTAACCTCCAAACATTCATTTGGCAGAAACCAACCAATAAAGCATCAGACATCTTTTTAATCCAACAGTTTTTATCAAAAGTTTAACTTATTTGGAGGCTGATTACGTCAAACAAATCTGTTTTAAAACTTGAGAATTAAATTATAATCGTGATCCATTACTTGAAAACAGTTTCCTAGTTAACRTATTTCCTAGTTTTAAAATTGTTCCATCTCACACAGTTTAACTATATGAAGGCTAATGACGTCTTAGATATTATTTTAACTTGTACTAATAATTAAAATTACAATCATTCATTACTTAGATATAGTCAGCAGTTTCCAAGTCAAAGGCAATCCTAATTGAAAGTTTMAATATTGCTCCAAGTCGGACGTGAACTCTTTGAATACAAAACCTAAAATGTTTTCAAAACACAAAGTTGGCAAATAACATGTTTTGGGACTTGAATGCGTTGGCGTTTAATACTGTTGGACCGTTCACCACCATATATAGCGGTCAGATTCATATTTATTACCACTAGTGTCAAATTGACGTCATTGTGTTCCCATATCCTAGGTACCTAGAAATTGCAGACACTAATTGCTCTCATCCCACGCACGTAACATTCACATTTAGATTTACAGCCGTTGATAGGAAGGTTTGCAAGACGAAAGTATGTTATTTAGTTTCTGAAGTTYGTCGCCTTTTAGCTGAATCTGTAACAAGTTGTTAAAGCCTTGTGAATAGGGCTATATGCACGATATAAATCCTTATTCAGCCGATATAAAATCCATGCAAAGTATATGTATTGGCTTGGTTTTATGTTAGAGCTGTCTAACTTTTTAGTTCCTGTACTATCAACAATCAAAATATATGTAATTATGTCAATAATCAATATGTGTGTAAATTGATGACTTTGTCCACTCTGCGTTCAAACCGGGAATAAGAAAATCGGTAAATTGGAAGGAGAAGCAATCCCACTCATTCTGGCTAAAGGTATTTGAATTCACAATCACCCCAATCTAAAGTTCTTATTTTATAAGTCTGGATCCAATTCCTCTTTTTTCGTCTCATGGAGATCCCACCTCTCGTTCTTTATTTCCTTTTCGATTGTTTCTTGTAGGTAAACGATATGCCAAAATGCATTTAAAGATATATATATATATATATATATATATATAGTTTTAAAAATGACTGAATTAGTAAAGCAGTCCTAAAATGGTGCTGTCGATTTATATTGTTTAATAAATGTCAGTGAAAACAACCGTCGCACCGCTTTTTCGTCTTTGTGCCTCTAATTCGTGCACCTAAACTCAAACCTGAAATGAAAACAACATGGATAAGTAGACTAAAAGGCGCTTAAAACAGTATTGTAATCCATTGTTTTCTTTTGTGTTCTTTCAACTATTGTACCCCAACATTTATTTGCTTTTGAATTTGTTTTTGCGGCTTATAATGGATGGAACTCACCATAAAGGCCCTGCCCACGCCTATTCCCATTTTTCTGCATCCGCAAAATTATTTCTTTTTGTGCGTGTGAATGCCGTCCACACGTATCCAATGTCAAATCAATCTCTGATTTGTCTTATTAGAATGCTTGTGGATAAAATGTGAAATCTTTAAGACCGCTAAAAATGAATATTGACTGGACCTTAAATAAGGTGATCATGTTCTGAAAGAAAAGGAATGCTAAATGTGGGGAATATTTAATAGGAACCAGGGCGTATCCCCCAGTGAAAGCCAAACCTAACTTAACTTTATTTTCGACGTTTATTTGGTTTATTTTCTTGCAATTGTTTATCGATGAGGGCTTCCTTGATACGACCTCCTAATCGTTAGGCATGGTTGTTTCACTTATAGTTTAAGTGCTTGTATCATGTGTATGAATACCTCTTTGTCTTAATTTACTCTTTCATTGTATCAGTTTATATTATCTGTGTGGAAGTCTTTAGACTATGAAATGGTATTTTGGTTAATTAAAGTGACCGCACACTGGAATTCAAAACAAGACCAGAGGGRAAAACACTTTACTGTTTGTTCAATAGAGGTTGACTGTAAACAACAATAACTTGCGTGWTGGGTGCACAAGAAAAGAAATTTTCTGACAAGAAAATTTGGCGCCCTTTCTTCTTTGAAGTAATTTTTTTACTTGCAAACGTTTTTAAGGTCAACAAGAGCTTATATTTTTTTTAGCTAGGATTTTTTCTATTTTCCTGGCAAAAGTTCTTAGAAAAGTATTCCTTGCCAGGAGAGTTCTTTTTTCCTGAATTTCTTGCTGGCAACCAGTTGTGGCTTACAGCTGGATGGCTAGGACATAAGAACAACAGATATATTTCTYCCAGGAACCCGTCTGCTCCTTCTAATCTTTTATTGTCAGAGGGATACATCGCAGGCAAGAAGATGGTGGACGGAAATTGCTCGTAAACAAGTTATTAGGGAGCAAATTCATTATGCTGGTGACTCTTCGCCACAAAGAAATACATAAACGAACGCTGCCAACCTCTGTGCAACGCTCAAACTGATGGGATGCACAAAATTATAGAATACAATTCTGGAATTTGGAGCTCCACTGTTACGTAGCCACGAAACAGCCGAACTAAGGTGATTCTGGTGTGCACACACAATGCATCATCCTTGAAAAAACCTGTCAAACATTTTTTTATTATTTTTTTGATGTTAATCTACTGCTTTCTTTCGCTCTTTATCAGCAAATTCGAACTCAATGATCATTTTTCTCACTGACACTATTAGATATTAACTATAACATAAAGATACACACTCTTTGAATATTATGTATGTCTCTAGCTCTCACAAAACAGCTACAATCTTGGTATAAATGTTAACAATTTTTACGCGCGCACACGACATTTCTCACAACATACCTTGGTGCCAGCCTCCGCTCTTCCCCCAATACAGTAGTGTGGCTTGGGAGAATCTACGTAGCACTCAGTTGATGTAATATGTTCATAAAGATATTTTATATATATCATATATCATTTTATGAATACATTACATCAACTGCGTGCTACGTAGGTAACCCCAGTGTTGGCTTTCTTTTGCTGTCCATTCATTAACCCCTGCTTGCAACATTGATCATGCGGAAGGCAAGGGGAATATTTTGAGTAGATACAGGAAATACAGTATTTGTAGTGCCCAAGCGAGAAATTGTCAAGTATTTATGTCCAGGATTGCAAATTGTTGCTTTTTTTGCATTGCTTTGCTTCARTGATAGAGTCCGTTCTTTATTTCCGTGAAATATGTTTGCGTACAGCAATTAATAAACTTATGTATAAATGATCAATAAACACAATGAGACAAGTAAAAATTTAGTATGTTKGTTGTATTTGTTACAAAAATGTCATACAAAAATACTCTACATGCAAGTTTAGTGAATGTGCCATTAGTAAATATACATACAGCTTTTAAATAATGTTGCTTATCATATAATAATGTTGGTTATTAGAAACAGTAAAGTATCAATAATAAGTGAAGGCTGACCGGCGAGCAGACTGTTCTCTCATCTTGCAACGCAGGATGAGGAAAGCTTGGTTCACACTTTGACGGGAGCACAAGCAAGGGAGAGGTCAAATTAATATATATGCCACAAGCATCGTCCGCGGTGATATGTTTTCGTGGCGTTTTTGCCGTTTTCAACCAAAGTAGACGAGAACGAAGTCCACGCAAGAGCACAAAGAAAAGAACAGAGACAGTGCCTTAGTAAATAAGACGTTTTTGTTGGTATTTTTTCGCTTATGATTGCGTCAAGTGCGAACTCATMTTCGTAATTTTGTCCCGGTGTAACTTGAATGTACGAGAGTGAACTTGTCCTTAGATATCATCTTTWCCATTGGTTGGATTAGCAAGAATATTGAAAACATTGTTCACTACCCATCCATTGCCCCGGCRACGACGCATTTTTATTCTTAACCGTCCAATACACTAATAATCAGTTATTCTTCATTTTCACTATGCGTCACAGCGGCCATCTTGGAGAAATTTCAGCCAAGGATTTCTCATTAGTATCTATTGTTCATTCCTCTAACATGGCCGCCGGGTCTTTTATCTTTTGAATCTCATGGGAATGCATGGTTGAAAACGATCAATTAATATGGACGAGTCTCGAATAAAAACGTGCTTTAAGTAGTGGTTTGGAAGCCTTTAACAATACTAGCTTGTGAATAAAGTTGATTCTTTTGATAGTGTATCCAAAAACTAGTAATTGTACACTTCATTTTCAAACGTTGCGTGTGTGTACATCGATTAATGAAGCCTTATTATGTATGTATATACGCATGTATGTAATGCATTTCATTAGGGAGGGCTATTTGACATTTAAAGTGGTTACCATACTCTCCCACCCCTACCCCCATCAAAAGGAGTTATTAAATTTCCCAAAAATATTTTGTCTAGCAACATTAAAAATATCTAGGTGCACACTATAAGAGTCGAGTATCCCGCATCAAACATCAAATTGCCTTACCCTCTATTGGATGCTACATAAAGAAATGCTTTATCAAGATGTGAAATATTGTAGGCCTACTTACTGGGGTGTGTAAGATTGCAGAAGCTCAAATGTACTTACTAAATACAATTGGACCCGGAAAGCAGTGGGGTAAAAAGTTTCCGAAACTTAAAGTCCTGCCCCAGTAAACAGAGTTAAAAGATTATTTTTACTTGACAGTGAAAGATTTGCCAAAGAACATGAAATAATGAATGTATTATATCCATGAGACACTTTCATATTGCATATAAAAATAGAAGGYAACAGGGTTTGTACTGATTTACCTTGTATTGGGAAACGATTTTATGGATGGAATGGGTGCACTCTAGTTTGTTTGACTTTGAATCTTACAAATTTCTGTGGTCTTTGCATATTGGTCAAAGAAAATCACTTTGCAGTTTAGAAGGTACCTTTCCTTCTGCAGGCTTACACACTCAAAGTTAAAAAAATATCAATATATACAGCATTTACMTGGCAGATTGATTCAGTACTTTGCATTATTTTCTAATTATGGCAGATTGGTATGCCTTATAATATAATTCTATAAAAAGTCCATTTTCCACAAAAATAATTACTTTTAGGCATAGAAAAAAGACAAAAATATTGAGAAAAATATGAGCCTTGTAGAAATATTCAGACATATCTATCAGAACATCTTTCTAAAACATTTAAGAACTTCATTTCCATCTTTTCTGAAGTGTTCCTTGGAAAAAAACTAATTCACACTAGATTGATTTTAAATCTCAAAAAACTTGAACTTAATTAACTCACATTGCTCTCATTGAAAATTCTAAAATGTTTTAATATATATTGCAAATTGATTGTGCAGTGAGCTGTAGCTCATTAAATTATTGTGCTTAATACTCTTGAGCATATGMAATATGCCAAAGTGTTAATGCATGTATTGACTAGCTGCGGTACACGTGTGCAATTTATTGTGATCTAATTATATACTCCCAGTGGATATGATATCTTACGAATGCAGGTTTATTGTACCATTATACACAATGATGTTGTATGGAAATGAATCAGGCTGATGATGCCAGTTTGGAGTTTTCAACTCTTGGAGGTGGTGGMGCAGCCCTGTGGTCAGAGAACACCCAAATCAATACAAACATCACATACATTAACTAACTGCTTTAAATGACTGTGAAAAAATGACTGCATGAATCAGATTATCAGTGTGTCTTAAATGAAGCACGCACACAGATTGATGAAAAGTATAACAGCACTGAGCATTAAAAAGATTCCGTGCAGTTTCTTTTCCACAGTYAAAATGTCATTAAATAAATTAATCAGCCTTTTATTTTACAAGCATAGTGAAAATATCATTTAAAAAATACTTTAATAATTCAGTCCAATCATTGTGATAATTGCTTTGAATTTTCTTTTCAAGTTATATGCATATAATGCATATCATGTTCTTATCACTAAAATATTGAAATATAGAATTAATTCATTATTTTTTTAAAAATTGTATATACTAACTAGATGAATTAAAAAAGCTAGATACAAACTGTTTATAGCCTGGTACACATAGGATCTGATAACAGAACTACGAACTGTACAATGGCCAATGTATATCACTAGGTTTTTATGGTGTATATGTTTGAGAATAACAAAAAGACTGACCAATGTAATGACATAAATGTTTTTTATGTTGTTATGTTGGTGTCATTGTTGGCTATACTGCCCATGTGAACGAGACTAAAAAATGGCAATTTTGAATTGAATTTTTGTTTTTAAAAAGTTGTTTGTTTACCATTGTGCTGGAACAGCAAATACTGTAGGTCGTCCTATGAATCCTTGYCCTGGATATGCCTGTATCCACTGGTCAGCTGGGTAAGCCCCTGGTGGAATCTGTGCATACTGAGCAGTCTGGTACTGTCCTTGTTGTTCAAACACATGACCTTTTGTTAGGGTACTGACTGGAGGGAGGACATACCCTGGTGCTGTGTTGGCTGCAGGTGGCGATAGTGCTTGAGTAGATGCTGGATTGCCTGTAGATGTTAAAATACAATTCATACAATCAATAATTCTATAAGAGACTTTAACAGTTTTAACTTAAGAACTTAAAAACTGATATCATCAACGGAAAACAACTGTCACAGCTATTAATCATTGCTATAATCATGATAATGGCTGAAAATGAAAACAGTATYGTAAATGTAGTAATAATATTGCTCAGCTGTTTTAACTTAATATTTATTTAAATTTTTCAATAAACATTTTAGAAATGAAGATATGGTCTTGTCCAAATACTAATACATGTATCATGCCATTAAACAAATCTTACTAAAGCAATGATGATGCAACATGAATTCCATCCAAAAAAAAAAATAATATCATGGAAAGACATTATGCAGTGCATTCCTCGACCCCTAGAAGTTGCTGCAAATCTGTCATGAATGCATGATATAAGAATTACTCCCACAACTAGAAAATTCCAATACAGTGTTTGTTACACAATGACAAATAAAAGGGAGAATTAGGGAAACATACCTTGCATTGTGGTTTGACCACTTGTATTGGTAGTGTATGTTCCATAGTTCTGTCCATTATATTGAGTATATATCTGACTGCCATGCATGGATGACGTTGTGGCTGGGACAGCTATATAGGTGGGGCTTGGACATGACATGGGTGGGGCCATTGATTTGATGACTTCATATTGGTGAGGGACTTGTCCTTGCCCTACTTGAATAGTAGAGACCCCATGAAGAGATCCAAGGTTGTCTGACACAGGCTTCAACTCTGTTAGCTCCTTTTTAACAAGAATATTCTGTAAACAGCAATATTTATACCATGATAAGACATGGATTTAACATCTGTCTCATGTCATTTATGAATRCAAATAGTTTGAAATAAAGAGACAATAAATTAGGATATTTTTATTTCATTTATGTGGAAGAAAACTAATAGTTTTCTTAATTGCAAATGCTTATTGCAATTTTGACATAGAAACATAATTTGAATTTGCTTGCAACGCAGTTAAAACTCTTTCTGAATTAGCTAAGCTATTTCAGCAAATATTTAACAAGTCAAACATAATTTCCCTTGTTATTTAGCTATTATTGTTATTATTCACACACCTCTTGGCTTGGTGGATAATGAACCTGCGTATGATCTGCTTCCACAGGTGTCAGCTGTGAATGTGTTCCTGGACTGATAACAGTTTGCTGGTAGCCATTAGGTACCGTTAAGTAAGATGTAGGCATAGTTTGATTGGATGGTGATGCAGCAGGACTGCCGTCAATCACGCCTTTCTCTTTTCTCCACTTTGCACGCCGATTGGAATACCAAACCTGTGGTGATTTAAGGTGATGAAGTCAATGTTAATACTGCTTTATTAAATCTATTTCATCGAGATATCTTAATAATAGTATTATGAAGTATAGAACTGAGATTTATAAATTCTGTGATGTGACAGGTTTTCATACTTTTTCAAATATTTGTTCATCATTTAATCTATTTATACGTGTAGTGTATCACACAGTTTTCAATGTCTATAGCTTCAGGCATTGAATGCCAGTGTCATATAGAGTGATCTGCTTGGTTCAGTTCTAGTTGAAGTAGTCTGGATCATTCCTGAAGCTGACATACTCTAATGCAGTTTTGATCCTTTTTTTATCTTTTGTTTAAAAAGATGAATGATATTGACTACTAATGAATAGTTTGTCTCTTAATACCCCACCCTGTATAGCTACAAAGTGTTTTGTTCTTGTGTTTTAGAAGTGATAAAACAGCCTTCCAAACGTGTGACAACTTACATCATAACAATTATTCACCCCCCCCTTTTATTATTGCTATCACTACAAATACTGCATGCCTTATTGACAGCCACTTCAGATTATTTGTTAGTATCAATCACTATTACTAAGTATTAGTTTATTACTGCAAAGCTGGATCGCTACCACCATGTTAGTTGATGACTGGTTACTTTGTTACCATAGTAATTAAACATTAGTCACAGTAATACATGGGCATGCATGGTCTAGGCTACTACCACCATACTACCAGAACTCTCCAGCGTTTCCAGTAACAAACTACCTGAATTCTTGCCTCRGAAAGATTCACTTGTTGAGCTAAATCTTCTCTGGTGAACACGTCTGGGTAATGGGTCTTCTCAAACACTCTTTCTAACTTGTCAATTTGGTCATCTGTGAAGGTGGTTCGTTGGCGTCGACTAAGTTTGGCCCTCATGTGGGGAGAATTCGGATCATGTCCTTCATCATCAGAATGGCTTCCTGTTGGGACCAAGGTTGGATTTTAAATTTTCTGATTTCCAATTTCTTTAAACTTACTGTTTTTTAAAGGGACAATTTGGTTTAGAGTTGGTTTAATCATCAAAAATAGGCGTTCTTTCTTCTACTATAAGMAACAACGGTTCTTAGAAAAGTTTCAAATAACCATTTATCAAGTGAAATAAAATATCACCTCATTTTTCTCTGTTCTCAAAAAAACTTTCTGAAAAATATTTTTTGCTTCAAGGGTACATTCCATACATCTATTATTTGAGTTCTATGTCCATTTTGCTATCAATTGAAATAAGGAATCTTTTCGTAACTGGCAAATRCTAAACATGTTTTAGTTGGGAGACTATATTTTATCTCATTGAGTGTCAAAAAAGGTCATCKAAGTCATATCAAACTCTCATTTGGCAATTTATGTGTCATTGAAATCACGATAGTTTAACTAAATTAAAGTTGTAAACAAATCGAAAAAACAACATTCCTTTGTTTTTTTTGTAGGACATAAGTCAAAAAGTCGGCTTTCTCAGGGCAAAACCACAGATGTCATTCAGTATTTTAAACAATTCAGGTAGAATAATGTGCCTAAAGTGTATCAATTACACTCGAAAKTAACACTTTTGTGGCAAATTTGTGGGATAAAAAAGAGTTTCTTCTCTGAATTTAAATTATTTTTCATCGTTTAATTTTCAGGGAAGATTTGAATCATAATTTTCGGAAGATTATTGCGGGCAATTGTAACCTTCCAAATCCTATGTTTACATTTTCAGAAAGTTTCATAAAGATAGAATTCAGAAAGATTTGTACATGTAAGTTAAGGCAAAAGAAACGAAATTTAAAGTTTACAATTATGTGTAAATGGAATCGAAAGGCCTAGTGTGCCAGCCATCGTTTTGTTTTACGAATAAATTAATTGTATTTGATAACAAACATCGAGTCAGTGAAGCTCGCACGTGGCCTCAAATACCTCTGTCGCTACATCGTYGGAACATTAAGATTCCGTGTGGTCTTAAGWTAATACTTCAAAACGTAGCCACCATTCTCGAAATTGAATAYACTAGACCATAAACAATCAAGTCTAAAMATTTCTTAGTAAAAACCGTGCTAAAAACCGAAGGCAAATTTACATAAATCTACACAAAAATACACAAGCAAATGTTGGATTTTTTAAGGTTTAAAAGAGATTAATTTTTCATCTTTAAGTGACTGAGGGATTGTTATTAAATCTAGCTCCYCTTGGTCAAAACGTTTTGTGTTGCTAACGCATGATACGCGAGCAAATGATACACACTTGTAACAGTGTAAAAATTATCCAAAGTACTTAGCGCAAGAGTTTGAGAGCAAATCCAATATAAAATCTCTAAGTTTGAAGTTTAATCCATAATAACTAGTATCTGTGTGGTATTTTCAATTTACATGACTTCAATAAATAGCAAAAGAGCAGTCAGCCACTTGCAAACTGGGCAGTTTTGGCGCGCATAAACAATACAGTTCAAATTCAAACAACCACAAAGAGCTCATGTTTCTCTCCATTGTAAACCTTTACAAAATTAATGCAATTTCTCATTGAATTGGTATAAAACCACTCTAAMAGCTTACCTGTACTTTCATTACTTTCAACGGAATGTTTGCGTTTGCTAGGGGAAGTGAGTTGGCCTGCTTGTAAAGGAATGCCTAGAAGTCCACTTATCGAGTACGATGATCTTGGGATGTTCATGCCTTGGAAATCACGYTCGGTTTTGGGGTTCATTTCAAGCTGYGGATTGTCGTTGGGATTTGGTTTGCCGTTGTTGTTCTTATCTGTGTTATTTATGCGATTTCGCACAATTCTATTGATGGAGCTAACGCTGGGAACATTATCACTCGTGCAGACATTTTCACTCAGTAGCCTGTCCCTGATCTCCCAGGCAAACATYGTTGGGTTTGACATTTTGTACTCCGCTATCTTTGTTACAACTCCTGGAGTAGCTACTTTTGGCTTGCTCCCTCCAATCACCCCGGGTTTAATTGAACCGGTCTCGTAAAAACGGCAAAGTATCTTGCTAACGCAGCCATGGGAAACCCGTAATTGGCGGGAAATATCACATGGACGAACTCCACTCTGGGCTAGCTCTACAATCCTTGTACGTACTTGTTCGGGAAGTGGACGGCCGTTGACAAATACTCCACCAAGCTGATTCACTCCTCCATGGCCTAGAATGAAGAAACAAAGCCATTAAGAAGTTTGCTTCATGGCAGAGCACACAAGGCAAAGGCTACGTACCTTGTTTACTGTGGGACATTATAGCAGATGAGTGAGCGCTCGTGTCGATGACTTTTCAAAAATCACTCAGGCGCTGCAAGGCTCAGTCAAGCGTTACTAAATACTCTGTCACCCCTGGTCGCCAACCAAAACTGTGAAAATCAAATAATGAAGACAAATACGATCAAATTTCTGGTACAGTTCAGTGGAGCGTTAAGTCCTAAGCTGAGCTAGAGTTTGGAAAGTTTGTGAGTKAATCTAAGTAAAGCACTGATTACCTCACCGAGCAGCGATATCAACAGTTTGATACTAAACTCCCTGACTGAAGCGCATTCTAATATCACGCCGAGCAGCAACATGGTTTTTGATTGACACTTGACTGACTTCCTTTGATCTGATTGGCTCAAATGAAATCCTTTTGTTCTTTGAGGCCATATTTGGAGTAGACCAACAAAGAGCAAGCCACTCAACAAGAGCTAATAAAGTAATTATCACTTCAGTGACCGTTTTGTGAACTTGAAAGATTTCTAGACGTGAAAYCARGCTAATCGGAGTGAAAGCTTATTGCTGTTCGCGATTATTTATCTCAGTAGTATTACCAAGTCTACTGTGCGTTTACTGACATCCGTTACCTATTTCTGATATATTTGCATGACAATAAATAAGCTCTTCATTGTTTTCTTTTATTAAAATTAGCTTGAAGTAGACACTAAAAAGAGCAATAAAATCATAGGAACACAAGAGAGTCCATGGCAAGTCAAATAGAAGGCATCTGGGTGTGACTATAAACCAGCCCGTAACAGATCACTCTACCGTATCTGCCTACCCTAACTAAGCCTGTAGATTTCCATTCGAGTAAACTWCGCAAACTTCTCGAAAACTCTCTTAAAAACMCAACAAATTAAGCCCTTTTAGTCAAAAATGCATTGACAGTGAGCTATTCAGACGAGCCTTTATATGAGTGAGATCATAATCACCATGAAACAAAGACCAAAYGTATATCCGTTAGATCAAAAGGTTTAGTGCACAGCCTCGTCCTTTTGTATTGCTTCAAATCTTATGCAATGGAAAATTCCTTTAGGACAAACACTAAGTTCCCCCACTGGRATTTGTACGTGGTTGAGCAGACTTTCGAAAGATGCTTGGTCCGTTATCCTTCTTTTTCCTTGTTRTTATTYAAACCTACTCATAGAAACGRTTGTTTTTTGTCCATCAAAATGCTACCTGARTTTGCGGTTTAGAAGATTTTACCCCGCTTTCTTTAGAAATTAGCACATTTTTTTCTTGATGTTACTTTTGACCTACCAACAGAATCTAGAGWWTTCTAAATCAAACTTTTTCAAYGTTCATTTCTTTGTTAATTATAACCGGATCAGCGAATTTTCAAAAGCAATTAAATRCGAAAGCAGCATTTACATCTAATCGCCATTAAGACGACCAAGTATTAGCTCTAAGTGTGCATCTTGGAGCGCGGATTTATCAAAGCGACTTGGAGTATCTCTGTATGTAGGCCCTCGCTGTACTCTCATTAGTTAACTAATGAAGCTTGATGTTTTGAGGAGGAGGGGCACTCGAGGAATCGGCTGAACTCACGACAAGCGAACAAACACTTGAAATCGTCCCCCTTAAAACAGCGCTCAATATATTACCTCTCGCTCCATGTTGACCTGATTTCAAAGATATTCCATGTTTGTCTTTTAAACATACTTTAAAATAACCTTATATGATGTCTTCAAAGCTTGGTTAATGCCTTAAATGTTTTATTTTGTGTAAGTTATGAAATGACAAAAATACATGCTGTCAGTTTCGCGGGGCATTTTTTGACTCTTAACTATGTTCAGACAAATCAGCATTCCTACTCGAAACTCAAAGGTTTGTGTGTGGTTTCGCTTCCATTGTAAAACATTGCGTAATGTTTAGAAAAAGAATCGTAAATAATAACTTGGTGTTATGATAAAAGTGCAGTGGGTTATGAAGTCGACGCAGCAATTAGCCGTCATCATGTCTATGCTATGTGAAGGAATGTTGCCCAAGGCAATTTTTTTGTTTTCACATCCAAAACCAGCATAGTCAAAACCAAGCTTAACAAATCTGCGTTTGATTCACAAATCTTTCGCAAACTGTCAAAATACTTGTGTAAAAGTTTATTTCGGGGACATGACTAGATYTTAGTCGACAAAGGATAGTCACAAAGGCGGCTTTTTGTAAAGGTTTTTGCGCTACTGTTTGTCAATCGTAACGGTATTGTTTAACCTTCTTGATTAGCGGTGTTCAAAAATCTTGTTTTAAAACTTTGTGCTTGTGCCGTCAATACCTGACSAWTACYCAAAAATATATAAAATTTGGAATTTAGGCGTTTTTTCCCTTAAATATCGKTGTCTTTTCAACACAATAAAAGCCCACAATTCCGGTAGAGGATTGACTCATTCTTATTTATTCAACCATAAGTTGCTGGATATTATTTACTTGACAATTCGTGACAAAAAAAGAATTTCCCTTTTATTGTGTGGCCAGAAAACATAACGTTAAATCGGTCACGAAAAATTGTTTTCGTTTCTAGAGAGTTGGGTTCAATGAGTTGTTTGGAAGTTTGGCAGAGATTTTATGACATGAAATTTCCCAACTTAATTCTGAATAGAATAATTTGGTGAACTAGAATTTGTTAAAATGAATCTTTGTACAAATTGTCCGCGCTAAATGTTGCGTGCCATTTGATGCCACATTTACTAAACCGAAATGATGTGTGAATTATTAAGAATCACTTGTATATAAACCATTCTAAACATCTTTATTCTCAAAAATGCATCATTCAAGATCAGGTACTTCATMTATTCTYGGTTTTGTTCTCTTATTTTAGGAAAGCAAATCATTTTCCTTAACACCACTGGAGAAATTTTAAAAACTGCATGGATTCGTGGCTTCGTGGGAAATCACTGAGCTAATCTTCATTCTGCAGTGAAACTCTTCCCGGTTTTGTTTCAAATTCAACACGGTAACATCCTTAATCGAATCAAATATAAGAATACCAGATATTTTGCAAGGCTTTGAAACGTTTTTCAATACTACAAAATGGTTATTTTTGAAGTTCAACTAACTTWTTTTAGTGTTCAAACCATGTGCCATATTACCGCAGTGGTATAGATAAGATTATTAAAATTGCCAAATAATTGCCTTTGAATTGTTTAGCGTTTAGAGAAATCTCTTGAGATACTAGTGACTTCACYAACAGCAGCAAACGCGAGCAGATCATGTTTCGCATTGATTTACCTATTTCCGTCTTGTTACGAAACATTATTTTTCCTTCATTCAACAAAACGTATTGAAGAAAATCATTCTATTTACATTTTCCACTTACAAACAATCCAATATGTACACAATCCTAAACGATTGGCTGATTTRGTTTAGAAAAACTTATCAAGATCTTCATAGTCACGAAACCAAATTAAAGATGGCGTACTGCAGTAAAAATGAGCAACTGTGCGAAAACAGCGACCCTTGAGGTTCGAAAACGTCGTGTTCCTGTCACACTTTGAGCGAATTTTCTTTTATAATCTCGTTATTTTAGCTGTTTGTTGATTAAAGTTTGTTTTCAGTTTGGTTTTGCTTGATTTGGAATGTAATGGCGCTGGTTGTAAAGCTTGGGCGAAAGAGAAAAGAGCAACCATCTCCGTCCACTTCCCGACCGGGTCAAGAAGACGTGTGTTAAAGCTCGTCTAGTGTTTTATTATGTATACCTGTACAATTTAAACTGTCCCTCGGCCTCGACACAGGTGCTTCATTCGAATGAGCTCATTCGAAGCGCGCTATACGCAGCCGAGCGAAGGTTCTTTCTTCGCGCTCTAGTCCTATTGCCCTCACTTCACTGCTTTCCAACCAACCATAAATGTTTGGATCATGATTTGCTAACGGTGTGAAGCTTGGCTCACTAAGCGGTATATAACAGAGATTGTCTAGAAACCATTGAGCATTCCAGTAACGTCCAAGAAGCAAAGCTGATAAATGGTATTAACACGGGCGCGTCGCAGTAACCACTTCAATCTATTTGACTAACCTAACTGTATTCCTTCTAAATATACATAATTTGTTTGCCAAAGAATTATCCTGTCACGAAGAATCTGATGGTTTTAAAACTAACAACAGTTTAACGAACTTAAAAAAAAACTACTTTGGAAAACTTTTGAACTTAATTTAACTAAGACACACTATGTAATCGCATCGCCTTTCTGTCTTAAAATTAAATTCAGAAGTAATTTAACACATTAAAGAATAAAAAAAGATGGCTATGAAAAAGTTTTCTAGGAGTTTGAGAAAAATGGAGGAATGTGTTGATGCRCATACCTGTGCTGAAGCTAGAGTTGAAGTTGCTACTGGCTTCTTCACGATGTGTTTTAGAAGTAGTCAATCTTGTGATTGAAGTTGAGACTCAAGGGGTTGCCATAAATAGTGAGCGTGGTGAGTGCGTATTGTTATGTAGATTATCCTGTCATTATCTTCGACTTCATATCTTCCACTAATGTATTGCCTCAAGCTATGTCCAGTGTTAGACAGTCACATAACTCAGCATGAACGCGCTCGTTTGCAATCAGATTCCATGAACAAGCAACTTCCTTGCATTGCTAACAACATTAATCAAAAGTTTTGAATCAACTCGGACAGTTTTGTTGCAGGTTTTACCCCTTTTCCCAAAAAGGCGCGACCCAAAACGTTTTTCGTGCACTGGAATGGTGTATTAAGTGACGCTTAATGTGTTTTGAATAAATTCAGTTTTAATTGACACTTTCTAGCTTACTGTTTGATTTGATTGATACAACAATGAGTGCAGCAGTTTCCACAGTAAGTCAATCGCAAAGGCGTTGATTCCTTTTCAATTATTTACAAACGTAGAAAGATGTTGCGTTTTTTTGTGATTAAGGAAGGTGTAGCATTCAACAATAGCTCTAATTCCCCCTTCTGTGCTTCGAACTAACATTATTAATATCATATACTATGAAATTATTAATCAATGCTATTAGTTCTTATACTGGAAAGTAATTACACCGTTAGCTGATGCCTCCAATTCTGCCTACTATATTGACAATTTCCTTAAGTCGACTCAAAGGCGATTAATTCTTGACCATAATAGGAAAAGTAATGCTGGTGTTTGCGCAAAYTCAAAATTGAGAGGGGGTAATAACGTCAGTGTAAAATTTTACTGATCTGATTGTAGTAGTAATTTTTAGCATAAACTATAGGATACGTGTGAAGAAGCATAATGGCGTGGGAGGTAATTATCACCGGTATGCACTTCAACAACAATCAAAACTACGACAGCAATCCGACTGCGTCAAAGTATCACGTCACACACGAATCTGACTGTTAAAAACATCCGCAAAATGATTAAAATGACAGACTGACAATAACCAACTTCCCATCGTCAAACG